ACTCACAAAGCCACATTCTTTGAGAATTTCCTCCAGCCCCCCCCAACAGCCATAATTCTCCCCCAAGGTGGAGGTCAGAGAGTGCAGACTAAAAGAAGTGCTTCTTGTTAAAGCTTTAAAATTCACCCCCTGCCAACATGAAGTGTTCCTGAAGGCTGCAATTCCGAACAGTCCTGAACAACAGCAGAGCTACAGACTCAAAAAGAACTCCTCCATTTCTGTATCCATTGCAGAGGAAGTCTGTCCTGCCTTCTGGGTGAGGGACCAGCACCAGCTTCCCTTCTCTGCAAACACATTGCAGCCTTTTTGGCTTAGATCCCACCCACAGCAACACACAGCATCTTTATTTTATATGTTCTGTGTAGTTCATGAAGTGCCTGTCTAACTGCAATCCTGCCTCTGACTGGCAGTAATTGATTGAGATTTTTTTTTAACCACGAGCAAAGCCCGAATGAAGTAGGTGGCAGGGAAGTGCTTGATGTTCAGAAAAGTTTCAGGGTATCAAATGGCTTCGAAGCAGTTTATTCAAAGAAAAACAGGACAAGAGGTCCTACAAAAAAAGTCAGAGCACACAGAGTAAACAATTTCAAAGACTGTGTAAACAAGGGGACCAATTTAATCCCTGAAAACAGTGATTACAACTCCCCCAGTCTGCCTGATAACCTAAGAATTAATTGGCCTGTATGACTCTTATGTAGAAAACCAGCACAGAGAAACAGGAAAAAAAAAAGAAAAGGCAACTATTTTTTACCATTTCTTCTTTCAGTGAAGATTTGGTGCATATAATGTATTCCCAGTGTTTCAGCAGCAGAGATTTAATTGATGCAGGACAGCAATCCTTAGTACTGTGCTAAAGAGACCAACATCAAAATACAATTGTTTGACTATAAGAAAATTATTCTGAACATTTAAGAAACTTAATTTGCTCAAGTGCCAACTATTTACTCTCCTTGTATTGCCTTAAACATTTTTTTTCTCCCAGTAATCTGTACAAACTTCAGTGGAGATAAACAGAAACAAGTCTCAAGTATCCTCTTAACCAGACAGAGCACTGTATATATAAGACTCATGCAACACAAAAGGTTCACCCAGCATCACTGACCACACAAACAGCCAGAGAGCAGCTCAAGTGTTCTACAGTAGGCACAGCTACATAAACAAGTGTTGAGGGAAAAGCAATGCACGGTTTTGGGAATGCAAGATAAAAAGGACAAACACAAACTTTGGTAAGCTAAAAGGCAGATGGAGTAAGATGACCTGAGAGAGACTAACTGTGTACAAAACAGCTGATACGGCATTTGAAACCTCATATTGAAAATAAAAGGTTTGTGAAAATGGTCATGGGAGGCAAATGTCAGGGGCTGTGTGATTTCTCTGAACAATCTTGTGGACGATCAAACTTGTTCCTGAGGCTTTTCTTCCCGCCTTGATGGCTGTACATATCCTCACCCACCAGCTGGGCTGCTGGTGGATTATGAACCTGGGCAATCACACTGACTGGCATTTCATTACATCCCCTCATCTCATTTTTGGTTGTGCCTATCACTTTTTGTTTTTGATACCAAGATGATAACACGTTCAGATGAGATACCAGTGCTCCCTCAGGAGTTAGCACAGAGCCGCTCACATCCATGCCTGGACACCTTGGATGTGAACACAACCCAAATTACTATCAGCTACACCACATAATTGCCTTTTTGTCATTCACACAATGACATTGTTCTCTGTCCCCCTCCATAAAGCTGCATCTCACAATTTACACAGTATTTCAAGGCCATTAGCCTCCTTTCCTCAGTGTCTAAAAAAACTACAAACACATATGTTTAAGTGAATTTTGGTCTACTTTGAAGCCTATTCCTGTTCTCCCCAGTCCACTTTGAACTGAAATACAACCTCTGTGGCATCCATCATTTCTCTATAGGCAACTAACAATAAGCAATAGTGAAACAAGTGACTGCTGTAAGTACATCGAATTTGAGGCTTATTATTCAAGACCATTTCCTCATTGTGCTGGTTTTCCAACACGCTTCTCCCTTTGACTATTTGTGAACTGAGTTATTTTTCCCCACCATATGCTACTTCATCATTTCCCATGCTGAGTTCCACTGTAGCTGTCAGCTCCAGCTCTGACCTCTCTTCCACTGTAACAAAGGCAGAAACTCCCTTCTGGTGCCGGAGCGGATGCTGCATGAGGTTATATTTGCAGTCTCTAATCAATTGTCATCATATATCTCTGTCCTTTTTCTAGTGTTTGCAACACTGCCTAATGTAGTATCATTTGTAAATGTAATTAATGAGCTGTTTATGTACTCTTCAAAAATCATTAAGATGTTAAATTAAACCGCGTTTAGTGGTGGACCCTGAGTCACCCTGTGTGCTTCGGTCCAACTCGATACGTTGCCATTCATCATCACTCTCCATCCATAATGCCTCCAGCAATTCCAGCTCCTATGACACAATTCATGTTCAAAACAATTTGAATTCTGGTGGGTTTTTTTCCTCTTTTTGCATTAATCTGTAGACTTGCTGTCCTTTCTGTTTTGAAGGTAACAGATTTGTGTTGTTGCAGTCCTTTAATGTCTTCCTGCTTCTTTCTTACTACAACTGCTAATGCTCCAGTGTGTTCTGGTTTGATTAATTCTTTTAGTGTACTACAACATGCTATCACAAATACCTATTTATCTATATATCATAAGTATTCTGCTTTTCCTGCTTTTCCTCATTATCTACTTTAAAACTTCTCATTTTTCGCTTTCACATACTTCTTTCATCTTCTTGTTAAAGAGGCAATCAAAATACACTGTCCATCAGCACAGCTGATTTTCTTTTCCTTATTTTACACAGGTAAAATTCACCAATTTACCATTTACCACGGTTTTCGTCTAGCTTTTCCCTGCTGCAAATATATCTGTTGCCATAATCCAATCTACACTTAGATGTTCTCTATTTGAGTAAATTTGAGTCCTCCTGCTGTCTGCAAGCTTCCAAAATCTACAGATATTTTTATATAATTTTCATTGCTTTCTCTCTATGCCTACTCTACTGGATCTTGCGAAACCCACTGCATTCTTTTCCTTCAGACTCATAGTAATCTACTGCTCCCTAATTGAATGAATTATACATTTTACTTTGCTCCAGGCTTGATTTGTTCATTAGGACAGACACTCAAGGAGCTTTCACTTCCCAAGGCATCACTGAAATCACTGGACTTAGGGCTTTTTAGAGCGGTCCATGATCTGTCATGTGGACTTTAAAATCCATATTGCTTGCTAAGCTTCTTAATAGTGGTATGAATGAATGGCCCTTGGATCCTGTTCAGCTTGTGCAGCTGTGTTCTGCAAGTCTGGGTGGTGAGTATTTATTATCTCAAACAGGTGCAGAGTCAACAGCTCTTAACCAGCAAGGAAATAACCCATGGGTGATTTCTCCTGTGGTCATCTTATTAAAATATCAGGCCAGCTTTCACGACACCCATGAGTATGTCCACTCTATTATTCCATGTCAAATGCCAAGCTACTACCTAGAATGTCCTAAAAATTACAGAATCCCTAAGGATACAAACATTATCAGCATTTGAGCAACGCTCACCACATTTTTTCCTTTGTTATTTCAATACTCTTTTTTACACCCTTTCATATTTAGTATTTTATTTTCTTTTCCCCCCATCATGTTAGGCACTTTACTGTCACTAACCTGAGTGCCCCAGAAGAAGCTCCTGCCCAGAGCAGGCAGGAACAAGGATGGATGTAGGAGCAATAGCACAGTGATCTTACAGGCTCCAATGAGAATCACAGCAGGGCAGGAACATCTTTGTATGTTTAAACAATCCCAGGCAGGAGTTCAAAACATGCCCCACCAAACCAAGGCTGTTTTCAGTTCTAACATGTGGGTAGCATTAAACAAACAAACAAACCCACCAAAAAAAATAAACCCCACAGTGGTTTGAATGATGGCAAAAAGAGGGCTCGCTGGACATCCTTTTGAGAAGCAGGGAGAGGATTTCATCAGCAAAAAAATGTGTGAAGGGCACAGTTTACACCAACAAGAAAGAAATTAGAAATATTCATCAGGTCTGTCTCTGAAGGGTACATCTAACTCGGGTTCAAAGCCCTGCCCCTCTCCTCAAAAAGCTTTATTTTCCATTTGTGACTTTTCAATGTTAATAGCTTTTCCTTAAGGAATATTTCACCCTGATACAACATCACCAGACCAACTAAGATTGGTTTTCTAAGACTGTGTGTCCATGTATTTCACACATAAACATGTGTTATCACACAACCAGCCAAAATGACCCAGAAAGTGTGAAGTCAGGCCGAGATGACAAATTCCTTCTCAAACCTATAGGGAACTAACCTATGGATATCTAAAGACTTCAGCTTCAATGGTTTGAGACACAGAATGAAAGCTTCAGAGTTGTAGAGAAAAAAGCTTCTTTGCTCTGTGGACTTTGAAAATCTGGCCTTTTGAGGTACAAAACTAGCATGTATTCCAAGCAATCAAAGAACCCTTAGAGTTCAATGAAATATCACATAACTGGCTATTTTATGATTGATTTTTGGTAAGGGTGCTATAAACAGCATCACTTGACCAATACCTTTATTTTTAGAAAGAAACTAATGGTCAGAGTAAGCAACAGAAAAAATTTCCCAGCTATTTTGGAGGCAATACTGTGTGCAGTTATTCCCCTGACCAGTGGCTTCCTAGGTCTTTTTCAGTAAATAATACAGTATAAGACTGAGCCATAGGACCAGTGCCCTCCCTTCCTTTATGAGAGAGCTGCTTGTACTCCTACTACCAGGCACCCATTCCCTAACTCCTACAATAAGTTTATCCCTTTCCTTTAGCAACTATTTTGGCCAAATTGCATTTAATTTCTTGCTTTTTCACATCGCAAACAGCAAGAAACGCTTCTGGAAGCTGACAATTATAATTATTCCACATCAAGGAAACAAGGATCCAAATTAGAAAAAGAAATAACATGTTCTCACACAAATACTTACAATTGATCTGATGTTGTTTTCTTTTGCCAGTTTCAGAGAGGATTTATAGCAACTTGCTAAGTTTTCTTTATGAATGTCAGTGAGGTGGCCTCTTGCAATTGGCCCAACAGTGTGGATCACATCTGCAGGAAATAAAAGATGAAGAAACATTAGAGATTCTACTATATCACACAACAATCCAATCTGGTCTTGTACCTAGACACAATTATGTAAGAAAATGTTTATAACTGGAAATCACATAATAAGCTACATGTGTAATAATTAAAAATGAGAACAGTAAAGGTTAAATCTTGAAGTATTTGGGCAAAAATGAGAAAGGTGTGCTAAACCCTTGTTACATGTCCACTGCAATGCACACTCAGGAGAGATGAAATGTTTTCACAAATCCTCCAAATCTTTACACCTCTACAACTGTAAATACTATAAACTTTGAAACAGTTGTTCTCACTCCTCAAAGTCCACTCACTGGGAAACTTCACAACACAAAACCTCAGCTTATCAATGGCAAAACACAGGTTGTATTTGCTTTTTCTCAGCAATCATTTTTAAGAGAAGAAAAGTTGTGACCTATGAATTTGTTAAGTGCTTTCCTCTCACGTCAGACCAGATGGAGACGCCATGCCATAAAACAAAATATTCTGTTTGAAGAAATTTATAATGAACAAAAATAGAAAGCACAGTCCAGGAATACCTGAGGTATGGACTCATCAAAATCAGACACTGCAATCAATCAAAGTCTCTAAAGTGCTATAAGAAAAATGAATTTAGAAGCCTGGAGTAAAAAAGCCTAGCAAAGAAATCTACAAACTAAAAAGTATCATGATTTGACTATCAGGAAGCATATTTACTTTTTAAATATCATTCTTCTATAGTATATGTGAACACAATAAAATGAGTTATGGTGGAATGCATTTTTTTTTTTATGTTTCCTTATCATCCCTACAACAGTGGCACTATTTTTTTGCAACGCTACACGAACTAGGCCAATGCTTTCAGTTGCAGTTCCACTGTTCCCATTGGTTTGGTTGCGTTCCTACCCATATGGGACAGGTTTCCAAGCAACATCTGCTGTTGCTACACTCCAGAATATTTTAATTTACTCTCAAATCCTACAGAATTCACACCATTATTCTTTGTCCAAGCTGTCTTTGATTATTTCCATCCAACCTACAACAAGGCATAAGAGAAAATGGACAAACTAACATTAAAATACACACTTTTTTAAAATCCAGATGCCATCTGCCAAGTCCTGCTCTCTGCTACTCAGAAGGTGGCTTATATGCTGAGGCATGATGTTTCAAACAATTCCAAAATTTTTCTTTACATTAGCCACAAAGTCTCGATAAATCAACAAATAAAAGCACGTCTGAATCCCAGTGCCCAGAAACATTGAGGAATCGGCTGCGATGGAGACTAAAACCCGCAGGAGCTAAACTTCCCCAACTGCTACAGAAAACCCTCCTCCTGAGAAGTAAATAAAAGGTTGATTTTGATCACAGTAATTTTCTCCAGTTGTGGGAGCAAGATGGACAGATTGGATAATTTCTGTTGAATGTCACAGCTGCCAGACATGGACTCCAGCAAATCCTCCCTGCAACTCAACCATCACGGAGGTGCTGAGCCTTTATCCACTGCCGAGCAGGATGATAGCAGGGGACTAAGACATCCAGGGATTTCAGAACAAGAGTTGTGTTTTCACACGTTTCAGCTACTATCAAAAACTGAGAACTATTAAGATCTAGGAAAAAAAAGCAAGCTAGTTTAAAATTTGCTTCTGTGTGCAGAGATAAGGTCATGAGACTACTTCCATTAGGGAAGACCTTAATTTCAGCTCATGACTACAGCAGTTCCCTTCAGGTTGAAACTTTCCAAGGAATGTTTTTATTTGGAAGTGTTGGCAACTTCAGAGGACGAAAAAACTTCTCTTGACTTTCTTTTTTCGTTATTTTTGGGAAAGGTAAACTACAATTACTGAGCAAGGGACATGGTTTAATAGTGGACTTGGCAGTGCTGGTTAATGGTTGGACTCAATGACTTTAGAGGTCCTTTCCAAGCTAAATGATTCTATGATCCTACAGGGGAAGGAATATACTCATGAATCTGATCTCAATCAAGTTCATTCTACATTTATAGACACCAAGATTGGAGGCACCATGATGCATTTCCAATTCACAACACCCACCAGCCAACAAGTAAATAAAGGAATGACTATAAAATCAACTTAAAAAGAACATGTAAAGGATGAATAATAAAAGAAAGAGTCATAAACATTTCCCTCTTTCTGCTAAGGTTGAGTTTCTTGCATTTCAAGGTGCAGCTGGTTGAAAGTATAATGGCTTAAATTATTAATTTATTACTTAAAGACAAGAAGGAGTTTTGGGGAACAGCCCAAGTACTAGACTCTTGCTCGTGTCTTTCTGTATAAAACTCCCACAGTATGATTTCTAGATACATTTCACTCATTAAATGTTTAACTCCATTCCCTTAGTCTTTCATTATTAAACACAAGTTTTAAGAATTCTCAGCTCAATAAATGCAAAATGTTTTCCTTGTCATCTTTTTTTCAGAACTTCCCAATTTAGCATTTTCATGGAGACTCATTAGCAACCCTCTGCCACTGTACCAGACACTTCATGTAAATAGGTACCATTTAATGCCGTTACTATCTTTTCATTTTTCAAAGTCCATCACAGGTGGTTCTTTAGACAGGACCCTGACCAACCTGATCTAGTGGGAAGCATCCCATGGGAGGGGCATTTCAACCAGATGACTTTAAGGTCGCTTCCAACACAAAGCATTCCATGATTCTATGAATTGCTTTACAAAATATCACAACTATTGTAATAGTTTACAGCATATTATTAGCAAAAAATATGCTTTTCTTAGGCACATTATTTTTCTGAAACACGTGATAAAGATTTTACTAGCAGAGCAGCATTAATAATAATATGCCAGTGTCCTTCATGGTCAGCAGACAAACAGGAAAGTAATAATTTCATTGTTGTACTCTGTCAATAAAATCAGTGTATACATACATTTCCAAAGCTACACATTATTCCGCTGTTCCACAATACCTTAAGGTTTGCAGGCAGGCAAACCCCTTTGAGATTATACAGACATAAAGCAAACAAACCAGAAAATAAAACAGCTCTCCCCCTTCTTCAGCCCATGCAGTTACTACATCAGGATCAGACTTCACAGGCTGAAGCAGAGCCGTTTATCTTTAATATATCGACCAAGACTATGTCAATCTTCAAGCTTGTCTGTCACAATAAAGTTTCCTTTCTGCTCGTACATTTTACCTGTACAGACCCAGAGAAATTTGTTGGCTATGGAGCTGGAGGAGGGAGGGTGTGCTGTAGGGGGGAGCCCACAGGCATTTCTCTACAAGAAAATTTGAGGCAGAACTGCTGCTCTGACCACCCATCACAGCAGCCAAACTCAAATGCAAACTTCCAGACTGCTGGGAAGGACAACCACAGACGTGCAGGCCCTAACTGGCACCTTCCACACCACTCTACCACTGTGCAGAACAAGCTTCCACCCTGGAGAGCAGCACGGCCTTTCTGAAGCAAACACTGTGGTAAAGGACCATCACAGGACACAGGCACAGGGTTGAGTTTCACCATGGGAGATAAAAAATTGACTGCAGAGGGCAAAAAAGATGGGAGCGCAAGCTGTGGGGATAACAACAGGCTGAAGGTACACTGTGCATACAGAGGCACAACAGCACGGAACAGAAGTGGTCTCATCACCTAAAGATTTTTAAACCAGGGGAAATGTAGAAAAACTCCAAAAAGATGTAGTTGGCTGGAAAAGCCTGGTAGAGATCCCTGCTACCAAACAGCTCCTGTTCCTTCTTGTAGCTCCTGCACCCTTTTTGCTGTCTGAGTACAAACAGGAGCAAGAGATGCAAGTATTTCCCAAAAACTAAACCAGTTTTTTGGTCTCCAAACCCAGGTAAACAGAGTACAACTGGGAACAGCCAGCTCTCAGAGAATGCCACACTCTCCAATTGTAGTATTTTAAACTTTTATGTCAAATGAAGCTGCCAGCACTGCTGTGAAGCTGCTGATTTACTGTGGTCAGTCTTCCAGCCAAGCACAGTGATAGGAAACTTCATTAAAAAGAAAGCTGCAATCCATGGGTTCGTAAATCACTTTGTGTACACAGAGCAGAGATGTTTGCTTACATTTTTAATAGTACACCGAGGTGGAGAGCCCCCAAGGAAGGTATATTCTCATCTGGGATTCGGGCCACAGCAATGGATCAAACTGCTTTTAATGCTAATGAAGCCATTTAGTTTTAAAGCAGTTTTTATAAGGAAAGGAGATATTTCAAAAATGAAACTACATCTGCTGTAGAGTACAAACTACGTGTAAAAAGGCCAATGAGGCTTGTTTTCTCTGGTCTTTTTTATTAAAGAAGTCAGTCTATACATCTTAATGTGTTGTTTGTCACACGAGTTTTTATCTGCACTGCTATGAAGAAAGGGCAGAACAGCACAGTCAAAGATGAAACACAACTTCCAACTGGAAAAGGAGGAAGAGAAGTGACTGTGCCTCAAAAAAACAACCTGGAGGACTGATGTAAATTACTTTTGATGTAATTTACTTTTCCCTTGTCCTTTGTAAAAGCCACTAGACAGCAAAATATTACTGTAATGAGTTTTTCCAAACAACTAGAAAAGTACAAATAAGTTCCTCTCTTTCCTTCCCTTACAGATGTGAGTGTGGCACATTCACATCGTTAACGAACCACGGCCAGAAACAATTACACATTTCTCTCCTTCACCCCATTCACACATTCATGGCCATAATCAGCCCATCTCACCATCTGCATAATGAAGCTGTGCCCTGTCAATCACAGTGGGAACTGTATGAATTTTAAGGAGGAAGGTACCTCACTGTGTGTGTCACTGAATTAAACAAAAAATAATCCGATAAAAACTTGGAACAGTAAGGGCTCCATTTGTAAATCTTATCAGTTCATTTACACAATAAGCACCCACCATATTGGTGCTAAAAAGGGACAGCTGAAGTTGAGCTGATGGGAAATGGAATTACCTCTAGATATTCATACCTACTGGCTCTCCCTGTTCTTCAGGAATGCACACAGCTCA